TCCACACACCTCCCTGACGCAGCAAGATTCGAGCAGCAAATGGACAGCTAATCTTCTTGCTGCCGCTCCTCCAACGGTTGCGCTCGATGGGCTCTGATGGTCGATGCTGAGGTTCTCCCCCTCTCGTGCATGCAATGTAGCAATATGTCTTCCCTTTTGCTGTGCGTGCGTATGTGAGACCATAGCCCTGCTCTTGTGCAATGCTCATCATGTAATCAAAAGCTGCATCGCCGCTCTCAAATTCGCGCTCTTGGGGTGGATTTAGCTCCATTCTGACTTGTTCTTGTGCTGTTGAGGTGCTAAGCGTGCTTGTTGGGATGAAAGGGGGCGGTGGTGATGGTTAGGAAGCAGAACGTCGCACCGATGCAGCTCGGTCGCACAGACAACAGCCCGGTATGGCCATGTTGATTGATAATCTCCACCGTCACCATGCTCTTGGCCGAGACAAAGTTCGACTTGTCAAGTCGAGTCTCACATCCGTGATTCTGAAAATCGACTGAGTGAGTCAACTTTCGAAGTCGGCTAGCAGATCGCCTGATTGATTGACACGAAAGTTCATCCAGAAGTCGACTTGTCAAGTCGACTTCTGGACAAATCGGCTGATCCAGTCGGCAGTAGAGGGCGGCGGGATTGGTCGTCCATCAAGGTCGACTTGTGTAGTCGTTTGGCAGAATTCTTGAGAATGAGTCGACTGTCCAGGTCGACTGATCTTGGCGTGACGGTAGTCGACCTCAAAAGTTGGCGCACCAAGTCGGCTGGATCAAGGTGACTTTATTGATCAAGGTCAGAGTCGGCTACATCAGTCGACTGGTTCTCGTACGAGAGAGTAGACGACTGTCGTAGCCGACTGGACAAGTCGGCTACACGTGACTCTAGATCCAGTCGACTTCGTGAGTTGACTTGATCTGAGACTCGACCCGACAAGTTGACCTTTCGAGAAGATTCCGGCAGTCGAGTTTGAAATTCGACTGAATAAGCCGGGTTGTGGATTTACTAAAATGAGGTTGTGTAAATAGCGCGACCCAGGTAGGTGCTTATTGTACCGTATAGGTGCGGTGCTGGGCCGCGCACAGTCCTGCGCGTCGGGGAGCGGAGGCCGGAGACCACCTGCGCAGACCTCGCATCAGTCAGACTCAAGGCTGGTGACTGGCGGTATAGTCGGGTTACAAACAATCACGTGAATATTAAATGACGAGTCAAGAGTCTTGAGTCAAGAGTCTCATCAGTCTGCGTCGAGAGTCAAGAGTCAAAAGTAGAGTCAAGAGTCAGAGTCAAGATTCCAAAGTCAAAAGTCAAGAGTCATTCGGGTGAGTGAGTTCAAGTCTTGAGTCGAGACCCGGCCGTTAGTGATTCAAAGGATGACGTACGGTAGACGGACGCAAGCTGGTCTCACTGACACTCCTGACTTGGCGTTTGGGCAATCCTCTATGCCCTCTCCTCTCCACTCGAAGGCAACGTACGTCTTCTGATGACTTGTACCGGTGCTGTGCTCGGCCGCACTAATGGTCGCGGCACGCGAGTAGGTGATCAGTCGATAACCATCAGTCAAGTCAAAGCTTGGTTGTCAAACGTTCTAAATGCGTGCTGGTGCAACCTGTAATGCCAATTCACCTAACAGCGACCAAGCAATCAAGCATCCGAGGGAAGAATTTGTGGACGAGACGATAGGGCTAGGCACGGTCGTGAGCCTGGAGAACGGAAGATGCTGGTGAGATGAGCACATGGCCGCCGTCCCTCCTCGTCGCTCCTTTGAATCATACCGTGCACCTACCTCCACCCGACCTTAGCTATGCACCCGCGCTACGTGTGGGAACGAGAAGCGCGCCGCTTGCTAGAGGGAGAGATATTGCGGAGGGCTTCAATTTGAATCTGAATTTTGAATCAAAATGACGAGTGAGACTTCTGCTCACGTGATTAAAGATCGCGGCTACTCGATCGTGATTCGTTTTCAAATTCACTTTTTGACTGAAGACCGCCTGATTCAAGATTCACGTGAAGCAGGCAGGCATCCTAACATGTCCCGCCGGAGTTTTGATGCACATACACCCATTCACATTCACAAACATTCGAAATGGTCCCTTGAGGCTCGCACAATCACAATTACTCCCTCTACGCTTGGAGTCGCAACGCCCAAGGATATGTATAGACGGCTGGCGGTTGTTGCGGAGGGCCAATGAGTCAAGTGGTGTGTGTGTGTGCCTAAGAGTATCTCGATGGACAGCTTCTGCAATCTGAATTTGCTGCATAAGGAGTCGTGCCGTGCCTGTGCTTGTGCTTGTGAAGCTGACTCTGACTCTGACTACTGCTGTCCCTC